TAAAACTTGGGTTTTCCCTTTTGACTTTTTTCCATACTGATCTGGTAACTACATGTACAAGAACGATACTAAAGGAAAAGTGCACACATGGCCTGCACACAATTTAGAGAAAACACACCTGAATGTAAGACAAAAGAACTGATGGCGGTTTTATTTTGTAGACTTTACCTGTCAAACATGGCATAAACTTCAGACGAGGGTTGATGTATAGTGCACATGATGGTTCGACCACTGGCTGCAAGACGCTGAAGTGAAGCTATCAAACTCTGAGCCATGAATGCATCAAGACCAGATGTTGGTTCGTCAGCAAACAGTAATGGAGGATTGGTTAGTACCTGAAAATTTGAAGAACATATTTCTGCAAATCAGTGATTAATTAATGTATTTTTATAAATGTGAACTTGCTTCGAAGGTAAAGTCAAAAATCCTGTGAGGGGATCCCCTTGGGAAAAGAAAAAAAAAAAAGAGTCAATTTAGGAGAGGTATTGGTCTATGTCATCATCACCCTTTAATTTTCTTGTCTTCATGTGGAGAACAGGGCTGGAAATTGTGCTCCTCCGAGCCACCCTGTCGGCTACTGTACCTTCAGTCCTGCCCCTGCTCAAGAGTTTAAACCCATCATCCTATTATGTTCTCTCTCCATTGCTCTTCTCCTTGTTTCCTTGGGCCCGCCTAGCTGTTGTGTCTCACTCCCTTCAGGTGCCCATGTCCCTACTGTGAGGCCACTGTTGTCCATTCATAGCACTTGCCCTATCCATATCCACCTCTGTCACCTTACTTGCTTGTTCATTGGTGGTCTGGACATAATATATAATTATTGGCTCCCCTGCACTTCACCTCTCACCTCTTCACCTCTTGTACCTCAGTCTTCCTCATTGAAAGGTATCAAGTCTTGCATGCCAGATCATCCTTTGACCCTTTTGGAGGTTATGGGAAGTCACAACTGCAAACATTGTAGTGTTTGTACCAAATACCTGTTTTCAAGAGGTGTCTGCCTGCAGGGGATCCCCATATTACAGAGGTTTGACTGTATTAGATAAACTTTACAGTTAGCATACACAAATTACCTCTGAAGCAAATGCTAATCGTTTCTTTTCTCCACCAGAAATTCCTCGCAGTCTACCTGGTATACCAATGACTGTGTCGGCACACTTCTTTAATCCAAGCTACATGTAGTTAATGAAAAAATGGTCAAATAAATCTTTCTGAAATTTTCATGGGATATTTTTTGATACAGTACATACGTTTACAATCAAGTAGGAACATCCAACATGTAAAATGAGAGAGAGACAATAACATTTCAAGACACTTCAAAGGTCTGACTGCATCTTTTATGATGCAGGAATAATGCAATGTGATCAGTTCAGTGAGGAAGACGTACTCAAGACAGATAAGATAGCAAGAAACAGAATAGGGGCAGGGCCACTTGTCGACAAGAAACACATTCGTCAAAGGCAGCGCGAGGCTATTAGAAAGGGCGTGACACTTTCTGGAGGTAGGGAGTAATAATTCAAATCATTGCAGTGGCAAAATGTACAACATAGAGCAGAGAGATCCCGGAAGTGTCCATCACAATAGGTCTGGCTGTTGACTATTAAATTTGTTATATCTGGTCAATTGTCAAATATAAAAAGTACAGAACGTGGGACTGAAAAGCTAAACCAACTCTGTATTATCAATCCCAAAACATCATGAAGTGTGCAACTTGTCCACTCTGCATATGTGCAATACAAATTATATTGATTTATAAGCCTATATTATCCACATGCATAACAAATAGACTGTAACATTTATATATTCAATTTATGAATTAAAAGAATATTACTTGTAAATACATGCACCGCCAGCTTCAGGTGTAATCATTTCTAAAAATATATTAATTACTATTATAATTATATAATAATATTGCACTCCTACCTCCAATATGACCTCCTCAATTCGTTCATTCCGCCGTTCCTTAGGAGTGTGTTTATCCATACGAAGAGCAGCCTACAAAATAATAATAATAATAATAATAACAATAGTAATAATAATAATAATAATAATATAAACATTGCAAGATTTATCTTAACATGCAGTTCAATGTAAGATTTGACTGTAGTCGTGGATCCCATGCCTGCCACCCCGCCCAT